CACCCCCACCCCCACCCTCACCCCCCATAAGCAAATGCTGTAGGCCACGTATGTGAAAAGAATGCACTTTAACATATATATATCGAGAATAAAATTGGAAAAATGGGTTATTATGAATTGCGAATAAATTTGTATGATTAAAATTTAATTTTAAATGTGTGATGATTTTAAGCACTCAATCTCAATAAATGCGTTAAAATATTGTCACTATTTAGAAATGAGATAAAATTTGAAATTAACAAAAAATGTGCTCACTAAAATTATTGCCATAATAATTATATTAACGAAGGAAGTATATTCCTGACAGGAAGTTGTGCTGAACTCATCTTTTTCCGTTAGAGAAACGAAGGAACGACTGTCTCCTCTTTGAGCATTGATCAATGTTAATAAAAAACGACCTTTACTGATGTCTCCTCCAGTCCTCTAGAGAAGAAAAAATGTTAATTAAATCCAGAGTTTGAGGGGTTCGCTAAAACACCATTAAATTTAATTTTTTCCCTCAGCAGTAGCTTTCTTCAGCGTTGTGCTGGATGCCAGCAACCCATTACAAAGGCGGATTTAGTTCTGCGTATTCGTAGCCAGACCTTCCATTTGGGGTGCTTCCGTTGTGTTGTGTGCTCCACAATTCTTCAGCCGGGCGAAGAAATCGCCTATCGACGCGATATGCCTTACTGCCTTCGTGATGCGAAATTGGCGATGCCTGACAAATGGATTGATAATGAAGCAAGTAGCGCTTTCTCAAATGCGATTTCTACGGCAACAACACTAGCAGAATGCGACACCTCAGAACCCAAAGTCCTCACTCTCCTCTCGCCTGCTGTTCCATCTGCAAATATAAAACCAATGGAAGAGCACCAAGCACAGCACCAAGGCTCAATTAAATTGTTAAATGGTGGGGACTCGAGCACCTACTTTAGTCCACAGCCCCAACATCGAACTCGATCAGACAGTACATCTAGTTCACTGGATGGACCAATGGGAGATAACGGTAGGTTTAAGATCAAAGCTCCTAACTATGTCAACGTATTGGCAAAGGTCTGAAGGAAAATGTCAGTAGAAGCAGATGATGGCCAATTAAATGAAATTTTGTTTCTTTGCACCTAGAGTTGTTTGTGCAGTAAAGGGCAATTCTCCTGTAAATTTCGAGCCCATAAAGAGGGACATTAATGCTACATTTTAAGTTAGGGACTCCTCTAGTCGATTTTGTCTTAATCATGCAATTTACAATCTCTCTTGTTGACTAGATTTAATGTTTGCGGTTGGCTATCCAATTAACTTTACGGGCATCGATTGGTAATGATATCATGACATCTGATTAAACGGAATTACTTGCTTCGTCCAATTTCAGGGTTCAGTTCCACGTAATTTTGAAGATTTATCCCTTTTACACTTAGCATGAAACCTGCCCAATTTTTTAGCAAAATATTTCTAAATCCGATTGACTATTGGCTACACTTTAAAAGTTCATTTAGTCACTTAATGTCACGAATTGAATACTCATTCTTACTTCCAGAAGATAGTCTACTGTGATATTTCCCTTACTAACTGTAAAGGTGCATGCTAAAATGGGAAAACACAATGTTAAATCTTGCAGCTCTGAGATCTTTAACTCGAAAATTTAGCCAGTGAAACCAACAAATCAAGACTGCAAAAAATCTGCAGGTGGATTCATTGGCAAACCCGTGAAAGTTATCAGCCCAGAGACCCGACCCCTTCTGTCCCTCAAGCGCAGAGAACGAACTCAACAGCTGGGTTGGTTTGAAAGTGTAGCGAAAAAAAGAGACGCCCACCTCCCCCCTCCCCTCATAGCTCCTCGAGCGAATCGAACAGTGAAATTAATCAGACCAGAAGGTAGACCCATTCTCCTCCAACTAGTGATCTTTGCAATCTTAGTTGCTGGGCTGATAGGACGGGAGTGGGGGGGGGGGCGGGGGGAAGAACTCGTGTTGGGAAGCTCCCACTGTCACACGGTTACTCATATCGACCAACCCGCGGGGGGGGGGGGGGGGGGGGGGGNGGGGGGGAGGAGGTGGCCCGGGGGTAGGGGGAGAAGTAAAGTAGACTCTCAACGACAATACGATATCTCGTCTGCGGTATCTCTCTGGTTTGAGCACGTGTGTGTATGCGTGAGCTGTCGCGTGGATAGCAACTAGGACACAGTCTGCACTAAATCTCATAACTCATGGTCATGGTATGCTCAATCGCGGCCTCCCACCCCTCATCTTAAATGGTCCATGTTTGTGGCCAAGAGGACTATTTTCTCTCCACTGTTTGGAGAGATTAATAATTCTCTATTTTGTGCAGTAGGGTAGGTGCATGAATAAATCACTTTAAATTCACCTTTGGAAATAAAGATGGACACGATCTGAGGTACTAATTTCAGTTTTAGGTGTCGCGTGAACATTGAAAAGAAATATAATGGAAGCATATATGTATATGATGTTCAAATTATTAAATAATATTCAATCCAGGAACTGAAAACTGTTCAATTCCCATCATCTGGACAAGAAATGAACCACAAAAAACTTTGAGAGAAAGAGAATTCACTCCCCCACTCCCCCATTTTGTACAAACACCGTTTATTGGAATATTCAGTGCCACTTATATTCATTGAAACTCTTTATAGAAGCCTCAATTTGACAGGACAATATTTGGGATCATGATAACTCAACTAAATGAAGAAAACGCAGAACCCATTTGTCTGATGGCAAAGATAGTAGAGTTATATGCTCAGATCGATACTAAGACTCAAAAAACCGTCGTGAGACCTCAAGGTAAAAAAAAGGATAATGGAATCTCAATTGGAGCAAGAAATTGCAGACACTTGCTTATATTTATTTTGAATTCTAAACAAAACTTGTTGAAATCTATGTTTGTTCTAAATTTCCTTTCCACTAAGAGCATAATTTTGTTGGAAGTTTGATACAGGAGATAACATCTCAATACCGCCTATAATTGGTATTTAAGAAGGCTTCGAAAAAGTAAGCATAGCATAGTTCGTTAACAGCTTCTTAATCCTCTCTGTTATCCTTTTTTTCTAGGTGTAGCTATGACTCCAAATTCTGATGGTAGTCCAGATGATGACGACTGCAGTAGTCTCTTCGGTTGCATGACTTCAGCTGCCGTCTCGTGTTTGAGTGGCGACACGTCTTCTCAGCAGCATGGTGCCCCCAATTCTATGAATGCCGGCACCGCTGACTCCATGTCTGCTCATCCTGGAGGACTTCACGGTGGACATCTCAATCGTGGGGGTCCCAGTGGTAAAAGCAAACGATCCAAAGAGCAGAAGACTACCAGAGTAAGTGATGACTAGATTATTAAGCAGTCCATCAGTTAAACATTCCAAGCAGCAATTACTGGCTGGAAACATGAGGTGTTTCCATTACAGAAACAATGGATTTTATTTCTCGATAAATTTAAAAACAACTATTTCATATAAATATGCCTGGGATCATATCTAAAGACTTACTCAAAATTGAAGGACATTGCTATGATATATGGCCCTTATTTTGGCACCGGACACTTAAATTCCCCGAGTAGCATCTTCATTGACAAACATGAAGAATTCAATTCCATAGTTAGCACAAACAAGACTCTTTTGAAATACTAGATAATCTGTCTCATGCGGCTTCAACTTGAAAAGTTTAAAATGTATCAGTTAAAATGTAAAGAGTAGCAAACAAGTGAGGGAAGAATCACCTTTCTCTTCGTTACTACAGACAGCGATCTTCAAGTTGAGCCTCATTGAAAGGTACCATGGAACTTCATTATTTGGAAACTGTAATTTCTGCCAGAATGTCAGTATTGTGGATTAGCTGACTGTGGTGGAGAAGTGGCTACATTGGTGTGACTGCTTTATGTCCATATCGGCGACCAATTTATTCTCTCAGCTTACTTAGAATAGATGAAAATGGGAGATAGAGCATGGAATGGAATGCCTGCACTTTCGGCATCATTAGAGACTTAGGGAGTTTATAATAAACGCCAAAGAGTGTGTGGCCAAGGTAAAGACTTGGCGAGCGGTATCTCGGAGTACATTAGGGTGAACACTCTCAACACTTGACGTGTACTATTCACTATGGTGTCGGTTGTAATACTCGCTATTTACCACTTTTTGAATTAAAAGTCAATATTAATTCATCTTTATGTATTCACACGGGACCCCATTTTATATTGACTAAACGTTATCATGGAGGCCGAGGACATTCGATCAGGAATAAATTCAATAATTTGCATTAATTACAAATTCAAGTAAATGTATCATTATCACAGCATGAAATGCTACGCTTCAATGCCATTCAAAATCAAGGTGCATATAGGGGACAGATGGGGTATGTGGGGTGTGGGTGGGTGGGTGGAGGGAGGGAGGGAGGGAGGTGAGGGTGGTAAAGATAAGAGAATACCTCGGGTAGCTTTTAATATATGGGACCTTAACCAAACGGAATTCAACATCACCTCCCTAGTGTGGTTGCCATGATCATAAGGACATTACATCTGATCCCGAGGTGTGCACAACGGGGAGTCGGAAATGAAATGGGGGGTGAGTTTGAAAAGTCAAGTAGTGACTCTCGTCCTCCCCCTCTGTGCGGAACATTTGACATGGAAGACAAGCAGAGCGGAAAATCATTACATCTTCCCCCTCTCACCACCTACCTCCAACTGTTTTTGGGAATAGGAACAGGGGGGTTGTGGAGGTCAGGTGAAGGGTTTCGGGCTACGTGCTTGCGTGATAAGTTGTCGCAACTGTCACTATGCCAGTTGTTGCTCCTATGTCCCGTTCCATACTGACCCTAGGACCAAGGTCATTTATCTGATTTTCCCATAGATTAATTTCTTCCCATTGATGGCCATGCGCAAAAAAATGATAGAGCTATGGGGAGAGAGTAGGAGATGTATTAATAATGATATCTTTCTCCCACTTATAGGTAAGGACAGTTCTTAATGAGAAACAATTGCATATGCTACGAACTTGTTATGCGGCGAATCCTCGCCCTGATGCTTTAATGAAAGAACAATTGGTCGAAATGACAGGACTCAGTCCAAGAGTCATTCGTGTCTGGTTCCAGAACAAACGCTGCAAGGATAAGAAAAAACAAATTATGATCAAGCAGATGGAACAACATCACCAGGTAAGCCTTCCAAAAACTAGCCTAGCATGGCACATTGAAAAATTTATAGGCAAAAATCAGTGTCTTCTACTAAGGTATTAATAGACTACCTGACACATTCTCCTTTTAGTAAGTGATATTCCGACAAGTGAGAGCAATAACAATAGGAAGCGTAATTGTGACGCTGTTAAGAGTATTGTCAAAGACACGACGTAGTCTATTATCTATTTCATATTTGAACAGAAATGATGTTAATTCAAAACAGGAAACGGTGGGGGGAGGGGGGTTGAGGTAGGAAGAATTTAAAAAACTGTGCCTTGATAATTGCTGTGGGGAGATAATTCTTCTCATATCTCAGAGAAGCCCTAGGACACGTGTCGGCGCCACGCGACTTCCAACACTCTTGACTCCCCATTTCAAATAGGCGATTAAATTTTTTCCGATTTTTTTTTACAAAATAAATCTCATTATTATCACATTTCCACTGATTTGAATAACAGCCATTTCAACTGATATTAGTGACAAATAGAAAACACCCGCCCTAATATAGCAATACTTCCAAGTTCAATAAGAGGTGTGTTCGCAACAGTGCTTGACTATTGTAGAGGAAAGATTTTAACGTGACCTCATTAGTAGGCCATGTTGTACTGCCACTCTCGTCATTTCATTTTCACAGCAAGATAATTATCGATAGATGAAATTGTATTCGAACATGATAGCAAGGCTAGGAGTTTGATTAACACTACTCCATTAACTCGTTTCTATGCGACTTTTCTCCCAGAATGGAATGCATCCTTGCGGATTACAAGGTGTTCCAATGATAGCCGGGAGTCCATTACCCAATGACCCAAGTATGCTCTGTTCCAGTTCGGGTATTGACGTTCAGCGCATTTCAGGAGATGGGGGTAATACTGGTGGTGGCACATCAACTCCAATGAAGCCAGACGAGTCCACACCACCACCAGCCCCTCCTTCAACTTCCCATTCTCATCGATTTTCGCCTTCGGGATATCCACCAACGCAGGGACCACCATCCCATATGTTCACTGGAATGCTGCCACCTATCTCACATGTTGACGTAAAACAGCAGCAGCAGCAGCAGCCAAATTCCACTCCAGCTTCAAGTTCGGGTGCAAATGGTGGGGGACACATGATGTTATCATCGTCGATGGGAGACGATGGACCATTTCCGCCATTTCAACAACTGGTAAGGAGATCACACTAGACACAATTTCTTGCGCATGTCACAATTTCATCTTAAGCAGGAGGGCATTTACATGACATGATATTTAACAATAAAGAAAGCTAACGCTGTACTATACGGACATGCGGGTGTGTAGACTTAACCAAGAGAAGAGAATTCGAGGAAGATTTATATATCGAGCTTCTTCGAGCGATGCTCAAATGCTGCTGCCTATGCAGAGAACTTTTGAATAAGTTCCCACTGACTCAAAGCCCACATCAGCGATGACAATAGTTCTCTATATCCCTTAGAATTTGCTACTAGGATCTAATGTTAATCGCTGTTCCATAGAAGCACTAGCTTCTGCTTGCCTTTCCATGAATGCTCGCATTAAATTAACAACTTAATTTCTTATATCTATGGTTTTCTTCACTGAATTCAGAATTTCAAAATAATAACGCTCGTTAAATAATCTATATACATATATATATATATATATATATATATATATATATATATCGACCTTATTTTACACCTTATCGCTCATTATTAAATATCGATTTTTAAAACTAACTCATTGAAATTTCCGTGGATTTAGGATTTGGTTATCTTTAGTCGAGGCATCGTATTGTGTCTTTAAAGCATTAAATCATTAATAGATTGTACAGCTTTCTGACGGAATTTTGTATCAGATCTTATAAAAGAGCACTGATATTACTTCTTATTGGTAAATAATTAATGCTGTTTGAGTGAATCCCAGCTAAATGACACTTTTCCGGTTGGCATTGTATAGAAAAAAATAATTAATTTTCTTGTAATCCCTGGGCGCAATCAAATATAAAATGACCCTAACTTTAACATCAGATCAATAATGGCATAATTTTTTGCTTAATCATTTTGATGACTATGAATAGGATTGGCATATTTGTCAAACTCACCGTTTATTTATACATATATATAACTCAAATTTTGGTTAAATCATAAGCTAATGCAGAAATACGGTGCTATTATAAATGTCTAGAATTCATAGAAAAAAATAATATCTGTAAATAAAAATCGGTATGATTTTATTATGATCTTAACAATACTAAATAAGCGTTCATTTTTCTAAATGGCACGTTAATAGAACCTCTGAATAATTCGTTTCCCTTTGATTCAATTTGGTAATTAATTATGCGAAATTGTAAAAATATCTGAATCGCAGATTAATTAATGCGAAACATGCTTATCCGCGTGCAAAGTACCCCTACGCATTTTAACATTAGGCCATGGTTAGGTGTATTAAAGAAATCTCGTCGGCGTTTTCACACCTTATTAGTAAAAGCTCTAAAAGAATAAATATGCATTAGTTGAGGTAGAAGGAAGCTTTCCTTATCCAAAACTCTCTCTCTCTCGCAAAACACACCAAATCAAAAAGTGTGTTCTCTTGCAGAAGCTCATAAAAACTACTGCGCGCGCGCGATTTGTCCTCAGGTGCTTACTGCGTGCATTGCCGCGCCCGCGTCAGGGCATTTAAACACACACGCCCAAAACACTCACCGGTGTGTTAATGTAACCCCCCCCCCNCCGGTGTGTTAATGTAACCCCCCCCCCCTCCCTCAACCCTCCATCCCCTAATTCCCCCTCCCCACTCCCACTTACAACTTATTCTCTGTTCGATTCTACTACTGCTAATGCTGAAACTGCTACTGCCAGAGAAGACAAGACGGGGGAGACAACCTACTCAGGGCATGAGAAGAGCCGGTGTACTCTTTGGCTTAGTTGAGTCGATTTCTCCCCTCCCCCCCTCCCCCTTTTAGTTCTCCACTCTCCAACCATAAACTCCACGAAAACGCATTAACGAGATGAGGTGGGTAGGTAGGTAGGTGGGTGGGTGGGTGGGTAGGGAGGCAAAACGACTGAGAGAAAGCTTAGGAGAGAGTGGCTGTAGTAGGAGAGAATATAGCTCAGATTCTTTTAGATGATAGACGTGCTGCCCTGCAAAAAGGAGGGGGGGGGGGGGAAAGGGGATTGGTATAAGAGTGGGATTTTTAAGACGTTAGGCTAACTTCCCTCACTATGCAGTAGAGAGAATTCCATTAACGGATACTTCAGGTGTTGTAGTGAGGTCATAATATGATGGGTGTTGAGTGCATTAAACGCCTTCTTCTAATCTTTCCTTCATCTCTCTAAAAGAATTAGTAAGACTTCCCTCTTTGAGGAAGCATAATAAAATCGATCCCATACCCGGATGCTTAAACAAGACTAGTCACAATCCAAAGAATGGTTTGTATCCATGTCTTTTCTTTCGATTAGGTATCAACTTTTGATCTAATGGATCCAATGCAAAGAGGACCACATGGGGGACATGATGATGGGTTCATGAGTGGCAATCGGATGTCTTACGGGGGTCCAGGTGGTCCCGGACAATCGAGCGGTCCCATGGATGGACCTTCTCCCTTTGTCTTCCCCATGGGTGATCCCACCTTCACAACCCTTCGACCAATCAGCTTGCGGCCTCCTTCGTTATCTACCTGAGTTAAAGCGTCCAGCATTGCCATTTTCTTGATGCGATTATGATGTGATATCCTTCCAACCCAGACGATAATTCCCTCTATTGGCTATTTAAATTCTGGTAACACAAGTCATGATAGTAATCCCTATAGTCTGCTGATTACTATTGCTGAAGAAGTGTGTAGTGTATTCAATGAGCGATGTTGAATTCCTAGTAAAAGTATAGTGACTACTTATATATTATTATGTTACTTCAGTAATATTCGGTTTTGGTCCTACTGTAATGCTGTGCACTTTTAAGTTGAATAATCCCAGTAGCGCTTTTTTTTATGAAATTGATTGTTTATCTATTTTACGCCCTAGTTCATAACCCATTGACGATACAATAAATAGCTCAATTGCTGCAAATTACATTCTAGTCAAATTCTAATTTGTATTGATGGCATTGATTGAACATTGTTTAGTGGATTAATATTCAAGTTAAGTTGGGACTATGTTAGCTACTGCCGAGTACTATTATCCAACCATCCAATAATTGGAAGAACAGAATAATTGAATTGGCAAGAGCAAACACCACAAGTAAAATAAAATGAATATCGTGAACAATTACCCAATCAATAAGCAAAGTGTCACCTCATGTACTATTAATTTTGGCATATAAGGTAAATAATTTACAATCTACATGCAAGGGTCAAATGTAGTCAAACCATTCAATACTCTTAAGGTTTTAATAATTCCATTATCTTGATTATTGATTGAATTAATTTTTTAACGATTTCCTGCAATAGCCGAAAGCAATGAGCATGTATGGAATATTTTGCGCTAAAATTTAACTCGAATATTTTATTTCAACGCGGAAATGCGGATATCGAATAATTCTAAATTAATATCATTTAAAGGCCCAAATATATATATATATATATATATATATATATATGTATATAAAGGTAAAATCAATCCTAATAATAGGTGCAATAAAACAAAATCCAATGAACATAATTAATGAAAATATTTGACAATGCCGAATTTGCTAAATTACCAAAATAGTAGACCCATTTGCTAGCCCTCAAGATAGGTGCATTTTAGCTGAATATTTGCCAACAGCAAAGCTTGTCCAAACGCGGCAAAATCGTTTGATATCCAATGCCAACTCACTGATGATTTGACAGCTAAATACTTCTGATATGCCGAAAATTTTTGGCACAATTTTTTTTTTGGCCAACAATCTAACCATTCCAATAATTTAAAACAGAGAGGTAACTCAGAAATTAGGCAATCTTTCTACAGAGAGATTTATTTATATCAAGTGGCAGGCGTTTTGATAGTTATCATTAGCCCTTTAGTTGACTTCAGGCTTCATAGAGGGGAGGAGGAACATCAAAGTGGAAAAAAGTCGAGAGTGGGGGGGGGGAAGGAACAGAAGAGTGTTTCAAAGATGTAGAAGAGACAGGCACAAAGGTAAAGAAAAAGGTAAAATGAATACTGTGCAAGTGGCCGAATATGACATACAGTGGGGTCATGGTAGTTTGAGGTCAGAAGTCAACTGCTAGTTAATAGACTTTTTTTCCGCATGAATATACGTTGCCCAGGGTGCACCACGTGGAGAGGTAAGTCTATCGCACACCCCGTTCTTCAGAGAGATAAGTTGAGTTAATTACAATTTGCTGCTTGAAATAAGTTTCAAATCATTACGCCAAGTTTGACGAGAAATCCTTCATCCACTAACCTTACTTAGAATGGCGATTATTGAATGTACCCCGAGAAACATTTATTTATTTATCTATATCAAATGACAGGCGTTTTGGTAGTTATCATTAACCCTTTAGTTGACTTTAGGCTTCACAGAAGGGAAGGAACATCAAAGTGAAAAAGTCGAGTTGGTTGGGGGAACAGAAGAGTGTTTCAACGATTTGAACGATACAGACACAAAGATAAAAATAGGTGATATGAGTACCGTGAAAGTAGTCGAATATGACATACGATGAGTTGATGTTAGTTTGAAGTCAGAAGTCAACTGCGGTTAATAGACCATTTTGCCGTATGAGTATGCGTTGCTCAGGGAGCACCGCGTGGAGGTAAGTCTATCGCACACCCCACCCCGAGAAACATTAAAATCCATAACCTCGACAATGGAAAAATACTGTCAGCTACGCCACCAATGCACTTTACCCTAAACCAAGACCATCGAATTGTTTATTGAAAAAGACGGGTTTGGTATTGTTTGCTCAATTTTAAATTTCAAAGTGGGCAAGAACAACTTAAATTTGAAATTCGAAAGAGGTACAGACTAGTGATTAATGTTTTGAGGGCGTAATGAATATTTTGCCTAAGAGCCTGTTAAATGGCAATAGTATGAAAAGAATATTTTTTCCTAGTTTCAATGCTTTAATCTGGGAGTCAAATTATCAAATATGGGCATTTTGTTAACGCATATGAATGGTACTACTTATTAGAATTTGAACGGCTAAATATAACGAAATGTCCAATGATGCATGCTGAAGTGTTCGCAACACTTGATACGAATAGAGGGAATGTATCTTGAGACCCTCCTTACGAGAAAGTCTTGATACCTTAATTACCTACTTCTAATTAGCTGCCTATGGGGTTCCATGTCTGGACCCATTTGCGGACGATCATCCAAGTAAAAAAAATTGATATTTTGTTTTCCCTTTACCACTATGCAAGTAAATTTCGTACTTTGAAATATAAAAAATGATTATGCATTTAGGAATAAAGGAAAACTCATGGCCACACCGATTTCTCTACTAATGGTTATTTATTTGGTGGAGAAGGGGGGGGGGGA